GAGCAAAGGCTTAAGCTGTAGTAGTTATAAAATTCCTTTAAAGTTTTTAATTTTTAGGAAAATTCAACTTGTATCTAAAATAATACTTAATAAATATATTAGTATTATAATGTTTACCTCAATGTCACTTTTCTTATTATCTGTTTTATACATTGAATATTAATAAAATAATATTATAATTTAATAATGAATGTTACTTGAGGGACGAGTTTGGGGATGTGAGGGGCAGAGCCCCTTCTGGTAATGCGATATTATTTGTTAAATTATTCTTGAACTTTGCGTTATCTCCATTGTTTATTGAATCATATAATTTATCCACGCTATGGTAAGCGTGTCTATTAGGATTATTGCGAATTGTATCGATGTTTTATAATGTTAATTTATTGCGCAGTGCTTGCGGGATCTGAGTACCTGAGAGTTGCTCTATATTGATTATTATTATTGGCATTCACAACACTCATACGTGCCGTACTCTCGTAATCTCGTTCACCAAGAGAGTTCATTGACCGACGACGTGACTTGTAAATCATTTTTAAAACATTTAATTGACATTACTTGGTACAGTAATTGGTAGTAACTTGGTAATTTTTAGTTCTACAATTTGTGTTGATCTTGATATTATAAAAGAGTGTGGGCACCTGGCCCACCCTCTTTTACCCTATCCTTAATGGGAAAATACGAGTTGGATCCTAAGATATATGATGACTTAAAAAAAACACTAATTGGGTCCGCGGTGTTATTCGATAACACTCAAATTGGGTCCACGCCAATATCTTTATTTTATATATTATTTAAAACTTTCATGCAAAATGCATATCACTTCAGAGCTCAGCCATACAGTTAATCAAAAAAACAGCAGTAAAAATAAAATGTCTTATGAGAAAAGATGTTTTACTAGTGGAAAATTATTGACACAGTTAAATTTTATAAAATACATATCTTTTAAAATTATTCTTTAGGTTAAACTTATTATTAACTTATTATAGTATAAATATTTACAAGAAAAAGAAAAAACACAATTTTATGTTAAAATTAAGCTAATTTAATAATAATTTCATTTAATATTTAATAATTTTTACATTAGACCTTAACTTAACAAAAAACAAAATTTTTAGGAGAAATTCTAGTCAACATCCGTGTGGTGTTTCTTGGGTAACGCTCACAGGCAACTCATGTACTTCATAAAGTAAACGGGGACCCAACTCATGTACTCTATAAAAAAAGTCCGGATCCAATTCATGCTGTTTTCAAAATCTAGGACCCGATTCGAGTTTGTCCCCCTTAATACATCCCTAATTATGGTAAACGACAGGGATCAGCGGGGTACAATTTATCTTAAAATGGTTGGTGAGGTGGTGATAAAAACTTCTTTTTGAACGTTGTTTTCCCTGGTGACTACTAAACATAGGCGTAACTAGGAGGGGCTGGGGGACTAAGGCCCCCAACATGAATTTTAGCCCTTCCCTATCATAATTCTTAGTCTTCCTAACGATAGCTACATTTTTCATTTTTATTTAAAATATAGTTTTATTTTTTTTAATATTATCTTAGAAAAATATTTATTTTTTTTTTTTTTGGTTATACGTATCATTGTAATACGATGATTGTATGTAAGGTTTTACTACATAAATATTGCTTAAAAATTATTAAAAATTTAAACACAAAAATAGTCGTAAAAGACGTAGGATTATTAATAACTTGTGATAACAATTAACAAGTAACGAAATATTAACGTAACTGACTTAAATCAGAAATTTTGGTTACAAGAAATTTTTATGACAATGAATTGAAAAACATTAACAATCAGGAACATTTAAAACAACTAAAGAGTTTCGTTGAAAAATCTGTTTTCCCAAATTTATACAAAATGCTACATTTAGTGTTACTTGAGGGGCGAGTTTGGGGATGTGAGGGGCAGAGCCCCCCACAGGTTTTACCTATTTTAAACATGTTAGGGCTGAAGCCCACCCTAATTTTAGGATCTAGTTACGCCTATGCTGCTGAACTGTTTTGGACCGTTGACTTTGGAATGTATTTAAACAGTCTTTAAACCTACGTGGTCATGATACCTTTTATAAACCCAACATTTATATTTAATAATTGGGTAATTTAAAAATCTTAGACATTTTATTATTTAACAATAAATCAAACAATGGTATCAGTATAAAATATAGTTTGTAGTGTAAATGAATTAATCACACTCACAAAATTATAAATCAAATTTATACAACTATATATATAACTTAAGTTTTAATTGTGTTGTAACATGTATACGAACAATTTATGAACAATGTGTTTTATTATTGTGTACTTTATTACGCATAGTTAAAATGTTCTTTACAGCAGAAATTTGAATTAAAATATGATAGAACTAAGTATAAATAAATACACTTAAAATACTTAAAACATTTAAAAAACTACTTCCAAATAAATTTACAAAATTATTCCATCATTTATGATAATATTTTTAAAATTCTCATTCGTATAAATCTGAGTAAAATTACAAAAATAATTTAATCTAAAGAAAGATTCAATAATTGTATACTATTTATGTACAATTAAATAAAGAAAAAAATTCCTTAAACAAATGATGTTAGTTATTTTTAAAATGGGGGCAAAAGTATAATGGCTTATATGTTTATAAGACATGTTATCATTTTCTAACATTTATTTTGTTTTGTTTTCATTCAAAACACATTGACTATATGCTATTTTAATAGTTTTGTTATTCAATGTTTATTCCATTTATACTTTATTTGAATATACATACAGTGTGATACGTTTATACGGAATAATAAGAAAAAATGATGATCATGTAAATACTATTTAAATATTTCAAAATCGAATATCGTGCAATTATCACTTTAGTATTACATATTTATTCCAACATACTTAATTATAACAATACATAATATTATAATAAAGCTTAAAACATTTGATCTATTCAATTAAGTACATATTCAATACCATTAAAGCAAAAAATATGAAAACAAAAGAAAATATAATTATTGATTTCGTTCGATTATTAATTTTATACAGAAACCTACGACTTATTCCAACAACATTTGATCAAAATCAGAATGATAAGAAACTTTTTTAATAAAATGTCAAATGTTTTAATATCCTAAACAATTATTTATCTTATAATTATTATTTAAGTATAAGACTATTATTTGATTTCTACTACATACATATATGTTAACATGTTTAATTTCAATTTTTATTCATTTTAGAATAAAGTATTTTTTAAATAAATTAAATATTTTATATATTTTATACAAAAAAGGTTAATAAAATAAATTATTCTCAAGTAGAAAATTTGTTTTTTTTTTAAATGTAACCGAATGCCTCGATAGTCTATTATTTTTTGTTTGGTATTTTCTATGTGGGTAATTTTTATATTTACGCTGTATTTTTAATTTTTAAGTAGCAAATATATTAGTTCTAATCATGTTAATAGAAATTATATTAAGCCATGTTTCTGATAGTGATTTTAGTTCAATGGCCTGCATTTTCGTTACCTGTGCAAATTAATATGTTATCTGAAGTATATTTCTAATTAGTTTTATATTTTTATCGGTTAATTGTATTTATAGTAAACAATAGTATTTACATTACGTTTAAAGTTTCTTTTTAAGCCATAATAAATATATTTTTGACATTACTTCGCACATTCGTTCTTTCCATTGAAGAAGTGTTTTATTAAATATTCTTCTATACGTATTATATTTAACACATGTACATATTTCTTCGGTTTCAATTAAATTAAGGTTAGTAAAATATTACTTACTATGTAATACTTATATATTTAATTAACTGCATTAATTTTATATAGGTCATAATATAATTGATTTTCCTTTCATTTTTTTTCTAAATCCTAATTTAATATTGATACTTATATACGATTTATTGAATATTTTTAAATAAATTTCACTACATTTTTTAACTACCCATGGTAAATATAAAAATGTATTTCGAGTTATAATGTAATAGTCATAAAATTCTATGAGATATATATTTCTTAAAATGCTTTTATTTCAGTTAATGACCAATGCCTATCTTGTATTGGTATTAAGTTTATATTATAAATATAAGTTTATGTAATTTTAATTAATGTTATATCAAAATTAGAGCTGAGTCGAATAAATGTTGCATGAAGCCTTTTAACTAAGTTCTAAATTGTTATTAAAAATGACTGGTATTTTTAATTTTTAATTCCAATTTAACATAAAAAAGTTATTAACATTGTGTAAATTTTTTTTTTTAAAAATGTTCAGTTAAGTACATTTAATTATATTTGTGGTACATAATTTTTAATTGCTATATTAGTCTCGTATTTTTTATTCTAGATGGATTAATGTATAGTTACAATTTTACTTAAAAGAAATAAAAGTTAAAAAAGTTAAAATTAAATTAAATACCTACTTGATTAATTCAGTTTGATATTAAATATATACCACGAGTTGTCATTATAAGTTGTGAATTAAAATAAGCATTTTCTGCAGGTTTTTGGTAGGGGTATGGAAGTAAGATTAAGTTAGGTTTATGAGTAAAATATTGAAATTACAAATTAAACTGTTTGAGTTCTATTTGATATTGTGATACCATAAAAAAAAAGTATTGTAAAATCGAATATCGTAGTAGCAAGGTTATTGATGTTTTAGAGTTGAACGGAACATTACAAACTATTCCATATTGTCATGTTATTATTTTTATCAATTATAATACGAATAATATTTATATTTCATATCAATCAACCGTTTCGCGAGTTCAAGATAAAAAAAAAATTTTCCTACGTAGAATTTGTAAAAATTTAAGAAAAATTTTGGGAGAGGGTTACAACCCCCAAACCCCACCCCTAGTTGCGCCACTGCATACTACTTCCACATAATTGTTGAATTAGAAGTATGAAATATTTCACTATATGATGAAATATATATTTTACAAAAACGTAAAACATTGAAATTTTTTCTAATAAAAATATTAATGATAGCTGTTTATCAATTATTAATTATTTAATCTAAAAGTTCTAGTTATAGGTATAACCATTGATTTCCCTAATATTATAAAATTGTGAAAGTGAGTTATGATAGTTATATGTAAAAATATAACTCATTTAAAAATTATTAAATGCTGAAATATTTCACAATTTTAAATTTCATGCAATTTTGAAACACTACATACTTGTACAATAAAAATATTCAAATTTGCATCTTATGTTTTAGCAAATGAGATTATAAAATAATTTTGTATAAAATGCTGAGACGACGGGCCCTCTCGGAGGTATGAGCCCCGGGGCTTTAGCCCTCTCTGCCCCACCCTCTCGCTGATCTTGTACTTAGTATATATTTTCACTCGTAGAAGGTGATGATATACATTTTTTTAAAACTTTTGCAATAGAAATTTGGAAACAGAACAATAAATAACTGAAATTAAAAAATGGTCAGTATTGTGGGACACACCTAATAAATCTTATAAAGATCGAAATATAAAAAAATGAAGCCTAGTTTAACGTTATGTCAGTTTTATATGATGATTTTTCAAATAAAACTGAAAGTTATCTCGTATTTGTAACTGTAGTGGATTATTTGATGTTTAATTTTGGTAAAAAGTTCATCAAAGATTTACGAAAATTAATATTTATATATGTACACTATCAGCTAGCAAACACCTATACAACCCAACAACCTAACCTAACCTATAACAACCTATATATATATAGGTTTTATAAAGGCTTTATAAAGGGTATAAAAATCGCCGTACAATAATTGTTCACTATTTACACCGGGTTACAGGCACCCATCATTTTCTTTCATTTGATTTTTTATTGGCGGATAACTTTCAAAACAGCATAAACGAAAATTGCACCAGAACCATTTCGTCATCCATTCTGATGGAAGCTGACGTTGCCCCAACCTATTGTAGTGTGTGAATGGAAAAACAACGTCCGTTGAAACAACGTTCGTTCAACGTCTGTCAATAAAACGCTCGCATGACCAACTCTGACCATCGGTCAACTTATAATTTTTCAATATTATATTATATATATATTATATTATGGGCATGTATATATGCATGCCCATAGGGGGAACAAAGCGGCCATTGCCCAAACTGTTAATTTTTGTTTCAAAACTATTGTTAATTTAATATCACGCATATCAATTATAACATAATTTTATTGAGTTCCATTTATGAAGTTTTGTAAAATTTATTATATTTTTAGATAATCTAAAATGTATAACCTTGAACGCATTTATTAGCTTACAATGTTTACACATGACTATATATCGCTTAAGACTATAAATTCTCCCGAGTACCGATTTCTATGGTATTTGATTTTGTTCTCATCTATTTTTAGATACGCGTTGTTTCGGTCCTTAGAATATTAATCTTGCCCCGGGTGGGATTTTATCCTTCAGGCGCGCTTGTAATATATATATTGAATAACTAACAAACTTAATACTTTATACGAATGTTGCGTGTAGTATATCTAATACAACAATTGGTTATATTACGACGATATCAATTGTATTGGTTCGGCCGGTCACAGGATGAGGATGGAGCTATCGTTATTGGTGTTGGCCGCCGCGCAAATGTCCGCGGTGCTCGGTGCTCGGATACTGGCGGTCGAGCCGATCGGCAGTAGAAGCCACTGGCAGTATATGCGGTCCATACTGGACGTGTTGACGGCCCGGCACCAAGTGACCGTGATCACTCCGCTGCCGACCGGCGACCGGGAGAACTACACGGAAATCGACGCGTCGCACGTGTTTCCGATCTACGCGGAGGAAAACGCCGAGCGCATGATCGAGCAATTCGGCTCGTTGATCAAAATGCTGCCGCCGATGCCGGAGCGCAGCCACGAACGCGACATGTGCGACGCGTTCTTCGACCACGAGCCGGTCAAGCGGCTGATGCGCGCCGAGAACGCGGGCCGTTACGACGTGGTCGTGCTCGAGCCGTTCTACTCGCCGTGTCTGTCGTACCTGGCGCACCGGTTGCGCGTGCCCGAGATCTACGCGATCCCGTCGTCCATGATCACGCCCATGGAGATGCTGATATTCGGCACCGAGCCCAGCCCGTCCTACGTGCCCAACCTGCTGTACAACGGCCCGGTCATGGACGGCTTCGCGCAACGGCTGACCAACGTCGCGGTGCACGTGTACGTGAAGGTCGTGCCGTGGTTGACCAACGTCAGGATGATGTACAGCGAGCCCAAGCGTTACGACGTGGCTGACGTCCGGCACAAGCCGGCGCTCGTGTTCATCAACACGCATTTCATCACCGAATCTCCGCGCCCGTTTCCGGTAAACATGATACAGATCGGCGGCATCCACTTGAAACCACGCGAGAACTTACCGGAAGTGAGTAGTAGTACTACGGTGTGAGCTGCGCGTATAATCTACAATTTAAATTGGTCTGGGGGTGGGGGGCCCTTTTTTGTAAATACTTAACTCTCTCAAAAAAAATAAATAAAATACATTAAAAAGAGATTTCGGTATTTGATTTGGAAATCGGCTTTACATAACACATTATTTTAATTAACCCTTTAAAATTTAATTATAAACTAGTTTAATTAGTTATTCCAATTGAGATGAGTGAAACCTTTCTTTTCTCTTCATAATCTCGTTCAAATTCCACTGCATGCTTGATGATTTTCACTTTTAAATCAGCGTTATGTAAAAAAAAACTTATCAATAACTTCAATTATATTTTTTACCGAAGTATTCAGGAGTTCTCAAGAAAACAAAAAATCTTCAAATAACTGTTTTTTCTCATGCAAAATGGACAAAACCAACATTAATTGTAATGTTCCTTAATAACTAAAACGTAACATACATAACGTACTACACTGATTACAAATAACTTTGGATTTTTGATGTTGTGCCACTGGATTTTATTACAATTTAAATTAGGCCAAAGACTGGGTAACTCAGTCGTTATTGAGAATTATTTGTATGCACCTACGTTGGGTTGAAACAGTCGTGTTCAAAACAATTTTAAAATAGTATCAATATATGAATATCAAAACTTTATTGTTTTACAGTATTATAAAAGTAAAGTTGTAAAAAAAAAATCAAATTGTATATACTCTTAATGAGCTTTAAACAAATGGCTTGTTTAATTATAAATGCTTTTATCATTTTATATAATGAGGTAATAATTTTAATTAAATTGTCGCTTATAGATTTTTGCATATTTTTGCTCTTTATTTACTCGTTATTCGTTTAAATTTATATTTTATTTCAAATATGTTAAAATAACTTTTTCATTTTCAAACAGATTTGATTTAAATTTAATTTTAGGATATATTAGATTTTATTGAAAAATCACCACATGGAGTAATATATTTTACTTTTGGATCTGTGTCATCAATGTCAACATTACCAAACCGTATACAACAAATACTTATTGAATCGTTTGCTCAAGTTCCTCAAAGGATATTATGGAAATATGATGGAGAAATCAAAAATTTGTCAGATAATGTAATGACGAGAAAATGGTTTCCTCAACGTGATGTTCTTCGTGAGTCACCATTGTATTTTATTTTTTATAACTTATATAATTTAACAAAATTATTTAATTTTTAGTACATCCTAATGTAAAATTGTTTATAAGTCACGGAGGAATATCTGGAGTATACGAAGCCGTTGATGCAGGAGTCCCAGTTCTTGGATTCCCGCTTTTCTATGACCAGCCAAGAAACGTGGGTAACTTGGTAAATGCAGAAATGGCACTATCATTGGATTTATTGACATTTAATAAAAATGAATTTTTGAAAACAATTGATAAGCTAATCAATGATAAAAAGTATGATGGTTTGTTTTTTATTTGATACAAAATTACATTTTCCCTCGTCTTTATTTAATTTATTAATACGCTGCTTATTTTTTGATAAATTATTAAAGTTATTATTGTTATTTAAGTAATTATCTATCAGTTGTCTAAAGATATAATCTACACACACACACATATATATACATATAAATAGGTATAAAATTATATAATCATATATTAATAATGTCTAGAGTTGATATTTAATTATATTACGTACGTATTTTTAATTAAACTTTTATATAACACGAAGTGAGAGTCAGGCGATTATAATCAATAATAACTTTGTTGTCCATGGAATATTAAACAATAACTATTACTATTAACATAAATATATTAAAAAGTATTACTATGTTCATTGCCTCTTAATAATATGATATTAAAATTTTGAATTTGAGAAAGGCGAATTAAACGCTTCATTTATTTATTTTTTTTTTAGTTACACAAAAAATGCTAAAGTAGCTGCCAAACGTTTTAAAGATCGACCGATGACACCTCAAGATTTGGTTTTATACTGGACAGAATACGTTATTCGTCATAATGGTGCCCAACATTTAAAATCTGAAGCTCTAAACCTCTCGTGGTACCAATATATATTATTGGATGTAATTTTTGTTGTAATCATATCATTTTTAGTCTTAGTGTATTTGAGTTATATTGTTTTTAATTTTATTTATTTACGTTTTAAAATGTACTCAAATGTGAAAATTAAGTCAGAATAAATAAAACTAACAATTTTAGTCTT